TCTGAATACACAAGTTCCTCAGTGATTTGAGTTGCTTAAGTTTTCACTCCAACTATGTGTGGAATGCTCTAAGCTAGAGACATTTCCTGCTGTCTTTATATTATTCAGTATGTTTAATGTGGATGTATTCAGATTCTTCCAAAAAGCATCTGTTTGTGATTTGATTTGAATATTTTGGATAATATAGCCTACTGAGCACTCCATCTTGTAAAGTAATCAAGAGGTCATCTCCAGTAACATTTAATAGTATTTGGAATGCTTAAAGTCACTGTATGAAAATATCCTGCATCCAAAAGGTTCCTTAAAAGACTCAAAACCACACTCACCATGTTCAGGGAGGATCAGCACCATAGTTAAATACATGAGGCATACTCCAAACCTTACGGAGAAAGGCATTCTGGGTCCAGGTATTCTGAAAGACAGTTGTGGAGGCAGAAGGTTTGTTGTAGAGGGAGTGTGTGCACTGGCAGATGAGATTAGTTGATTTGCAGGGCGTTGCGGCAAAGCTGCAGTGACGGATGGCAAAAACATCTGGATTCACAGCCGGAGGCGCTAAAGACTCGAGCATAGCCAATTGCTGCTCCACCCTCAAATTCCAAATAATATCAGGCTAGAGTAGATTCTGATTATTTGTCTCACTATCAGTTATAATATAGTAAACACATAATTTAAACTTGAGTTACACAACCAGTATATATAATACAGATTCTTGCGTGTTCCACTTGCTTATGGCTACAAGTGTTGTTCACAAGCTGACACGGGAGCTGTAAGTATAACTGGCTGGGCCCCTATCTGAGAATGAATGGATAATAAAGTGTGTTGGATGGATAGACAAGTGTGCACTAATGAGATTAAAGCTGTAAGGCCAACTGTTGTCTTCTCCTTTCTGTTATGAATGCAGCATAAACTGAAGGTAGCTAGCTGAACCATGCTAGAAACCATGTTCAACACCTCAGTTTAGTCAGGTTTAGTGTTAGCATGCTAACATTAGCTAATTAGCATTAAAAATAGCCTAAAAGTACAGCTAAGGTTGATGGGAATTACTTTAGTTTTGCCGGTATTTGTTCATAAACCAAAGTATTAACCTGATGACCGTGCTAGATGTAAAATTAAGTGATTAAAAATATATTCTGTGGGGGGCATGACTGTGTTTATCCAATTACATGGCAATCTATCCAAAGTTGTTGAGATGTTTCACTCAAATCACAAAAGTGAATCTCACGATGACGAAGTCAGGGATCACCTGAGTCATTAGGATTCATCCTCTGGACCATGAATATCTATAGCAAATTTAAACGCAGTCCATACAATACATTGTTGAGATATTTTGCTTAAAACCAAAAATGTCAACTTCATGATGGCGCTAGAGGAAATGTCATAGCTTTACCAAACGCAGTAGGCTAATCTTTCTCTTCTGGGGACCATGAATTTCTATACAAAATGTCATGGCAATCTGTCCGATAATTGTTGAGATAAAGATGTCTGGACCAAAGTAGTGGACTGAGCGACACTGTCATCTCTAGAGCCATGCTGCTAATAAAAAGCAAATATGGACATTGTGGAAAGGATGTAAGAGTAATTTCTTTATTTCGTGGCTGTTTCTCAAGAAGAAAATGACCACAGGTTGGAAGACATAACTGACAAAGTTATTGTTTGGAGAAATTTTCATCACTATCATGGAGACCTCTTTTCATTTTTTAGTAAGAACATTTAAATTTTAAATTCATTCATTCAATTCAGCAATTTTCAAGGCTACTTGTCCCGTGATATAAACTGTAAATACCATGCAGCAACACCAAGACAACAATGGTTGAAACTCTTTAATAGTTTATTAGACAATGAAAATTCCTACAAAGACATCAGTAACATATTTAAATGTTTACAGAGAAATTTGATCTAAATTGTTAGAAAGAAAAAAAGAAAAAATTCTGGATAGGAGGTCATGATGCATTATTCGTTGTGATTGTCAAAGGTCTGTCAGATGATTTGGCAACATATTCCTCTCTGGGGGAGAAGAAATTAAATTAAAAGTATGGCAGCAAATAAGAGAAATAATTCTTTGCATTTTAACAGCCACTGAATGATGAAATTTAAACACCACTAAATTCATAGCACTTAAATATTTTACTCTGAAAACCATGTATCTGAAGTGATTTGTTCTGAATTCACCTCTTTGTAATTAAATAGGAAATATTATTCCATTGGTCAAATTCAAATCTAAAAATTCAAGTTGAAAAAATTCAGAAAGACCAAATCAAATTATATTAGTCAAATTCAGACCAGCCACGGCAGCTCACGTTTTTGCTCACCGCCCATGCAGGGCTCTCTGCCCTCTAGCCTTTACCGCATAGTACAGCTTTTGACACTTTACCCTGCTAAATCTCTGGAGAACCAGAGGAAGGGAGGGAAGTGCCTGTTCTCGGCTGTCTCGGCTAATTAAAATTGGCTGAACTTTTTCATTTGAATTTGACCTATTGAATCTGAGCAACCTGAATCCATTTTTTCTTTAATGTGTGGATCTGAATTTGAAGTCAAAACCTGGAATTCCTAAATATATCAAGAAAAAAATAGAAGAAAACCCTTTAAATTATAGTGTGCAACACAGAGTGTAATTTTTCCCACTTTTTTTTTGGCTCTTAGATGGACACTTGTTTTCAGTTTAGCCGTATTAGCCCCTACCAAAAGTATTTCTACATACTGTCCATAACAACAATAAACGGCACTATGTGTAACAACAGTGTCATTCCAACTGTACCACTGCAGGCTGTTGAAGTCCCCTCTCTGTTGTACCCCATCCTGTAAGTTTATCTATATTACAACACACACGTTAACATATAGGCCTACAGTATGTTTATGACAATACTCTTTTTTTTTTTTTTTTTTTTTTTGACCTCTGTATTTTCCAGTAAAGTAAAAACACAAATGTACCCTGTAGCTATTTAGGAACTATGTAATTTGTTTTTACATTAGGAACTATGTAAAAATCTTCATCATCATTTTGTTACCCCTCCAATGTGGGTAAGTAGAACATAGTAATTTTAAAATAAATCACAGCAGATTTATAAAGTGCTACAGAACCCATTGTTACCCCCTAATTCCCCAGCTTACTTGCTTTAACCTCCAGAGTCTTTGTTGGAGCCACCAAGCTCTTGGGTCCACACACCATTCGTTATTTTCATTGGTAAGGCTGTAGGGTTGAAAAGACATGTAACAGACATGAACATGTGCTAGAGACTGATTGTTTTCAAATATGATCAATGTGCCTTACAGGGACGGACAGCACACCATAAATGCGAAAATGAAGCTTGTATGAGCAATTTTACTTACATGTAAGCCTTTATTTTGCAATGAGAAAAAGTGTTTTTCTCCTGCAGGAAGCAGGCATTGACAGTTTCTCTAATGGTGGCATTTGAGGTTTTCATGCAGCAATTGGGAATGACATGCCCTGGACTCCTGGGCCTAGGCCTGTAACACTGGGGCCGCACTGCAATGCATACACAACACAGAAAAATATTATTAAGCTTATGTACAGGAAACTATCTTACAGGCTGACTATTTAATTTAATTACCCCCCACCCAAAAGTATTGAATTTTCAGTATATATATAGCAATTACGATAGATAAAGCATGTTAATTAATGAACTTTAGAGGTAATGCTAGGCAAATCTTGTTACTTTGGAGAGAGCCAGACTTGCTTATACCCTTTTTGTTTACATTTCTTGTTCTCTTTTAGTTCCTAAATGACTGAAATAGTTTGATTTCCCCCATGTGTATCTTTCCAAAGCAAAATAAAGTGCTCTTTTCCGTGTACATAGATACAAGGAATACAGTGGGAAAATCTTCCCCCTTTAACAAGTACATTGCAACTGCTGTGTTAGCCAGCACAGCATCTGTTCTTCATTTACATCAAAGATCTTTCCGTTAAGTATCACATGATAGACACTCCAATATGGAAAGAAAAAAAAAGATTTCTCTTTTAATGTTTAATACAAAATGAAAACCTCCTGTGGCAAAAAAACATAAACTTTTAAGATGAATCCTCTTTATTTTAGTGTTGACAGGGAATCAATCTAATTTCTATACAATACAAATCAATACATTTTAAATACAACTGTTTAAGTTACCCTTCACAGACTCTAGAAGTAATTAGTAGTCACACACTCACCTTGTGCAAGAAGGAAAAGCAGCATGGTTAAACGCACACAAAGCCCATAGCGAAGGGAGAAAGGCATCCTGGGTCGCAATATGACAGTGTGTCTCTGTACAGTAGAGATCTGGTGATAGTGAATAATTAAGAGCCTTATTCTGGACACTCACTGCTCCAGTGCTTGTCAGTAAAGTTAACAGTGAAGCTCTGACTTGCAAGAAGAAATTTTGTTGTTATAAATAAGGTCAACACGCAGGAGCACACACCCCACACTCTAGAGAAAGAAGACCACAGCTGTTGCAATGGGTCCACATATTTCCTCACTATAAGTTAACAAGTACTTGGCACAGGAATTTTGCCTTCTTAAGTTTCCTTAAGAAATACAGCTGTTTCTGTCTTTACCAGCGTGGAAATGTGAGATGACCATGACGTGATACTGATTCCAAGAAAACCTAAAACTATTCAGCTGCTCCACCTTAGTGCCATTGTCCACATCAGGGATTGATATTGAAGAAGAGGAAGAAGTAGCTTTGCAAATGTTGTAACTCATGCGGTATGTTGGCAAATGAGTGGTTAACTCCAAACTAACAGGCTGTGTAACATGTGTAACATTAAAATCTGTTGTGTAATTGACATTTTATTGTTCAATACAGTTCATATTGGATTAAATAATGCCATAGGCACATTGTGTTAAGAAAGTTGTTGTGTTTTTTCCCCCATTTCATTTTTGAGCTTCAGAGGGAGAGCGATAGGCTAGATATTGGGATTGTCTCCAGTTTTTATATGCTCAACTACTGCCGCTCTGTCTCTCCCACTTGCTAGTTGAGCCAGGACGAGGGGCCACTTTAAATGGTGTGTTTGCAAACATCAACCAACAAATGCTATTCATTCAACCTTCAAGGTTTAAGGTAAACATTTCAGTTAGTAGAACAATTAAACAGAAATTGGTGCCAGCGTAAAGACTTCTGCTTAGAGCGCCATGGTGCATCACCTTCATCTTGGCTGTTGAAGGTTTTTCACAGGACTGTGCAAAATATTCCATTCTGTGGAGAGAAACAGTTAATTTAATCTTAGACAGTTTCCATATTATAGGAATTCAGATATCTTCTGTTTAAGCTGCTTTTGATTTATCAAATGCTAGAATTCCCAAATCCACAATAGGATGCAATAAAAAGTGTCAGACGTTTTAGTTGGGAGGTATGGTATGTTCCTCTAAACTGCATCTCATAATAATGTCAAATTAACAACAACATCAAAAATCATCGCAAACTAGATTTTCTAGATACATTTCCACTGTAAATTTCAGCCAAAGTGTTCTCTAGACTTACTTTCTTTAACTCCTGGAGTCTTTTATGGAGCCAGCGGGCCCCTGGGTCCACACAAAAGGATTTCTTACTCACAGTCCAAAAACTGTAAGGTAGAAAAACACAAAATAAGTTTTTTTTTTTTAATAAATAACCTATACAACAACCGCAGAAGCATAAAATAACAAACACTTTTGGAAATCCACTTATTTGCTTTCATGCTGCGTTACACAAGAAGATTGATACACCCCTCTCATGTCTGGAAGAAGTTCAGAAGTCCAGCTCACATTGTATCATAGTTGTTTAAAATGTACATAAACCAAATCAGAAACAACACAGGGACAATAACACTTTAGGAGGTCAATACTCTGGTGTTCATCAAGAAATTGTTGCAGCGTGTAACTCTGCCTTAAACCCAGCAGTGTAACATATTTGTAAATGACCCCTAAAAAGCATGTTTGTGTTTACACATGCGTGCAGACCATAGGTACAGACTCACCACTTTGATCAGCACCACGGACAGCTTGCCCTCAACTCAAACCTGTGGTCTCAGATTATCAAATATTAAAAATAGCTTTGGCCAGCCCCCAGTAAGAAATCAACACAAAGTAGCTGACACAGTATGTCAATAACCATAGAACAAATGGCAATCAAGAAAAGCATGGTAACTCATTATGCTAACACAGTACGAATGAATAGATGACAGCATCTGATCACAATCCACATTGCAATTGTTGCTGTCCATTGTGGGCCCTTGTAATCAGCTGGGCCCCGGTGCATTGTACAGGTTGCACCATCGGTACTTAAGCCACTGGTAAAACCTCAACTTGTTGTTTTTACGTTTAGATTGTTGTATGGATTGAAAAAGAAATTAGAAGCAGAATCAGCTTTATTGCCGTATCATAGTATCAAACTTATTTGCTTTGGTTTTTTGTTGCAATAAATATAGTGTAAGGCTGTCCCCAGCTAAGGATTTACATAGTCGAATCAGAATTGTCAAGTCCTGCCTATAGTCGAATCATGTGTGCTGAGGCTTTTTGAAGACCCTTTTCTCTCTCTCGCCTGTCATTCACCGGTCTCGTGCAGAGTTTTGCGTGCAGTCCGTACTGCCGACAACTGCATGCATGTTGTGGTTCCTTGCAGGTCTATTTCAACTAGCTGGCTATTTAAAAACGATAAAATATTCTTTGTGTGGTTCATCAACGGTGATAAATTATTCGAAAGTCCCGCAAGGTGTGGACAACTCGGCACAACACTGGTGAAGCTGGAGCTCCGTCTCTTCAGCAAGTGTTCCTCTTCTGCCGCTACATACACGATACGCCTACACATGCGCACTGATGACCCAGGGTTAGGGTTACAATTTTGGATTTATTTACACACTTTAAGGTTTTATTCTTTTTACATGTTTATTTACAGCATTAAGCATTGGAATGTATATTGTAATCGGCTGTATATTAACTTATTGGGAGAAAACTGGTAGTTCTAAAAGCAGATATCGCCAAAATGGCATGATCCTTGTTTCGCTGCGAAGCTTCGACGGTTAGATTGACAGTCGAATCAGGCTCCGCCCATCGAATCTTCAACTATCTGGGGTCAGCCCTACATAGTAGTAGAAAATATAAGAAGAATAATGAGAGATAACCGATATGAGCATTAGAGGTGCTGTCAGGCATATTCTTGAACTTTGGACATGCAGGGAGAAACACGCTACCTGTTTTTAATGCTTAGTTAAGCTAATAAGCGCCTGTCTGCAGCTTCACAATAAACATGCAGACATGAGATCATTTAACTTTAATTAAAAAAGCGAATAAATGACCTTGCCAAAGTGACACCTAGTTGCAGTGGTGGCTGCTGCCAAATCTCTCAGGGGGGGTTTTGATGATGGCTAAGGTGAGTTCAATGGCCTTAGTCTGCTATAACACAAGGATTGTTCCTTAGGCTACATACTGTACAGTATTTGTGAACAGCTACATCCTGAAGTTCATTGTCAATGTCTACAATGAATGAACAGTCCACAGTTAAAATCAACCGATCTTTAGACCTTTGGATGTAAAGGCAACTACTTTAGCAATAATGATAAAAAAAGAATGACTCTCACAATCATCTGATTTAGCTGTAACAAACCTTTTATTTAGGAACAACAAATCCAGAAAAAGCACAGTGGCACTGCAATGAATAAAATTATTTACAGTTAATCTTGCGTTGCAGCTAAGGGACCCGTCTCAAGTAATAGGCTACAGTTATGTAATATTGTCACATATGCTGTATATGAAGGTGGATCAAACACAGCTATTCTTAAATGTTTAACGGGGTACAGATGAACCTAGTATTTATTTTCAGTTTTTAAGTTACACATTACACAAGACTAATAAGGTAAGCAGAGAGTTGTAAAAACTCCACTTGTTATCCTGTAGATACACAGTATTATTAGGGGAGTGGGCTGTATTAAAGTATCCACTGTTCTCCTGTAACTGTATAATCACACAGTAACAACGAGCTATGTGCTGTTCTCCCATTCTTCCTTTGTATTTATACATGAACAACAAGGCATGCAAGGGGAAATTTAAAAGGTTTATTCTATTGTTTTTGGTTTATTTCCTGTGTTGCTTTCCTACTTCTTCTTCTTTTTACCCTCCTCTGACAAGATGCCCGTGGTGGCCACATCATGCTACCTACCTTTCCTGGCTTGGCGGTGCCCGGTCAACCTAATGAACAAGCCGCCCTGCCTAGTTGCCCCTAGTTGCTCCAGAGGCATCTGACATACATAGCAATTGTAAGTCGCTTTGAATAAAAGCTTCAGCAAAAATGAATAAATGTAAAGCAATGGATAACACAAACACAGACAGAAAATTAAGTGTGTGAATACTTTTCTACCTACATGTATGCACGTATATTACAATTAGCAAATGTGTGCCTTCTGTTCAAAGCAGGCGATGATCTTCTCCAAAATGCGGGCCTTTGAGACATTTGTACAGCAGGAGGGGACGACTGGTATCACGTCTGGAGATTCAGGCGTGACATACTGAAGTCGCCCTACAATGCAGAAAACACAAGAAAGCAATAGACCAGGCATGAATAAGACTTATATCAGCAGTGTATACTGCAGCAATTTGTATATAGGTGCATTGTCAGTTGTCCTATAACTACATGTATCACCGTTGGAAAGTACCAGTCCAGTTCAGGTCTTAAGTATGTTGTGAAAGCACGTGGTTAATGTTGTGAAACGTTCAAAGTTTCATTAAGTCTAGGCAACAAAACTACTTGGTTAGGTGTGGAAAAAGATCATGGTTTGGGTTACAATAAGTACGTTGTGTAAGTCAAGTGACATGAGTACCGTAAGTCACCTGCGTAACCCAGCAATAAATGAAAATGGGTTGTAATAAGCTGCTGAACAATTAACCTATATGGCCATTTGTCTGGTGAGGACGGGCCAGCCTTAATACAAAAGTATTTGCCAAGTCATCCTCACTTTAGTAGTCTCTCTTCAGTCATGCTTAAAAGATAAGTATGCAAAACTACACTCACCTTGCGCAGGAAGGAAAATCAGCAAAGTTACACATATAAAAGACAGTCCACCGCTAATGGAGAAATGCATCCTGGGTCCAAATTTGACAGTTTGTCTCTGTAGAGATCTGGATAATAAAGTAAATATTTAAGAGCCTTATTCTGGACACACACTGCTCCTGTGCTTGTCAGTGAAGTAATCAGTGAAGGTATAATAACACCAATACAGAACCCCCTCCATAGAAAGAGGAACGCAGCTGTTGAGTGTTACTCAATGAGTTTGTTAATAACTCCCCCAAAAAAAAAAACTGTAAACAGATATATTGTCTTCAGTAATGGTGCGATGTGTTGAACTCACTGAGAGACAAAAAATATTTTAGATTTAACTATAAATATGTGAGCAAAGAAATGTCTAATAGTCACATGTAACCATTACTTCACTTTTAAGCACTGATACCTCATGTTGGAACTGAAATGCCACTAACACATAAGTATTTTACTCCCTTTCTCTCGCTCGTCCTCATGAGCTCTCTCTCTCTCTCTCACCTGCGAGTCTGCATCACACTTGAATTGATGCAATTGATGGTTTCAATAATGTGGCATTCATCTGCCATTTAAATAGCAATGTGCCATTCCAGGCACAGCTGGCTTTCAGAGGGTAATGGGAGATAACACTCATGATTGGTTTAATTCGTGTTACACCCAAACCACACATGATCAATCTACAGACTAAATATAACCCCTTTGTGCCTTACTTGCTTAGATGCCAGATATGTCCGCGTAATTCAGACACCAAACAAGAACCTATTTTGAGGCCATAATGACCATGAATTTTCACCAAATTCTAATCAGTTCATCCGTCCAGATGAACGTTTGTTCCAATTTCGAACAAATTTCTTGTTCCTGAGATATCGCATTTGCCTAGATGTCGTACTGACGGACAATGATCTCCACTCACTGTGCTTCAGTTGCAGACCAAAGGAGCAGACCACTGTCACCAAAGGATCGGCCACATCTGTAGATGTGGGCAAAGGTGTAAAGATTTCTACTTAAAAAGTCATGGAGCATCATCTACATCTTCATCTTCATCGTGGAGGCCAACTGCTCCTGATACTTAGGATGAGTTAAATGCAGAGAGCTCATAAATGTTTTATATTGTGCATGATTGTGTATGTGAACACAGAAATAGAAACAACAACAATACGTTAGCTGTTCTTTATGCTATGCTACCCCAGGGATTGATATTGCCCTAACCACTGCAGTCAACACCTTGGATCTGGCTGGCCTTGAACTAGGCAGAACAATAAATACAAGAAGAGGAAGAAGTAGCTTTGCAAATGTTGTAACTCATGTGGTATGTTGGCAAATGAGTGGTTAACTCCAAACTAACAGGCTGTGTAACATGTGTAACATTAAAATCTGTTGTGTAATTGACATTTTATTGTTCAATACAGTTCATATTGGATTAAATAATGCCATAGGCACATTGTGTTAAGAAAGTTGTTGTGTTTTTTCCCCCCATTTCATTTTTGAGCTTCAGAGGGAGAGCGATAGGCTAGATATTGGGATTGTCTCCAGTTTTTATATGCTCAACTACTGTCGCTCTGTCTCTCCCACTTGCTAGTTGAGCCAGGACGAGGGGCCAGCTTTAAATGGTGTGTTTGCAAACATCAACCAACAAATGCTATTCATTCAACCTTCAAGGTTTAAGGTAAACATTTCAGTTAGTAGAACAATTAAACAGAAATTGGTGCCAGCGTAAAGACTTCTGCTTAGAGCGCCATGGTGCATCACCTTCATCTTGGCTGTTGAAGGTTTTTCACAGGACTGTGCAAAATATTCCATTCTGTGGAGAGAAACAGTTAATTTAATCTTAGACAGTTTCCATATTATAGGAATTCAGATATCTTCTGTTTAAGCTGCTTTTGATTTATCAAATGCTAGAATTCCCAAATCCACAATAGGATGCAATAAAAAGTGTCAGACGTTTTAGTTGGGAGGTATGGTATGTTCCTCTAAACTGCATCTCATAATAATGTCAAATTAACAACAACATCAAAAATCATCGCAAACTAGATTTTCTAGATACATTTCCACTGTAAATTTCAGCCAAAGTGTTCTCTAGACTTACTTTCTTTAACTCCTGGAGTCTTTTATGGAGCCAGCGGGCCCCTGGGTCCACACAAAAGGATTTCTTACTCACAGTCCAAAAACTGTAAGGTAGAAAAACACAAAATAAGTTTGGTTTTTTATAAATAACCTATACAACAACCGCAGAAGCATTAAAATAACAAACACTTTTGGAAATCCACTTATTTGCTTTCATGCTGCGTTACACAAGAAGATTGATACACCCCTCTCATGTCTGGAAGAAGTTCAGAAGTCCAGCTCACATTGTATCATAGTTGTTTAAAATGTACATAAACCAAATCAGAAACAACACAGGGACAATAACACTTTAGGAGGTCAATACTCTGGTGTTCATCAAGAAATTGTTGCAGCGTGTAACTCTGCCTTAAACCCAGCAGTGTAACATATTTGTAAATGACCCCTAAAAAGCATGTTTGTGTTTACACATGCGTGCAGACCACAGGTACAGACTCACCACTTTGATCAGCACCACGGACAGCTTGCCCTCAACTCAAACCTGTGGTCTCAGATTATCAAATATTAAAAATAGCTTTGGCCAGCCCCCAGTAAGAAATCAACACAAAGTAGCTGACACAGTATGTCAATAACCATAGAACAAATGGCAATCAAAAAAGCATGGTAACTCATTATGCTAACACAGTACGAATGAATACATGACAGCATCTGATCACAATCCACATTGCAATTGTTGCTGTCCATTGTGGGCCCTTGTAATCAGCTGGGCCCCGGTGCATTGTACAGGTTGCACCATCGGTACTTAAGCCACTGGTAAAACCTCAACTTGTTGTTTTTACGTTTAGATTGTTGTATGGATTGAAAAAGAAATTAGAAGCAGAATCAGCTTTATTGCCGTATCATAGCATCAAACTTATTTGCTTTGGTTTTTTGTTGCAATAAATATAGTAGTAGGCTGTCCCAGCTAAGGATTTACACTGTCGAATCAGAATTGTCAAGTCCTGCCTATAGTCGAATCATGTGTGCTGAGGCTTTTTGAAGACCCTTTTCTCTCTCTCGCCTGTCATTCACCGGTCTCGTGCAGAGTTTTGCGTGCAGTCCGTACTGCCGACAACTGCATGCATGTTGTGGTTCCTTGCAGGTCTATTTCAACTAGCTGGCTATTTAAAAACGATAAAATATTCTTTGTGTGGTTCATCAACGGTGATAAATTATTCGAAAGTCCCGCAAGGTGTGGACAACTCGGCACAACACTGGTGAAGCTGGAGCTCCGTCTCTTCAGCAAGTGTTCCTCTTCTGCCGCTACATACACGATACGCCTACACATGCGCACTGATGACCCAGGGTTAGGGTTACAATTTTGGATTTATTTACACACTTTAAGGTTTTATTCTTTTTACATGTTTATTTACAGCATTAAGCATTGGAATGTATATTGTAATCGGCTGTATATTAACTTATTGGGAGAAAACTGGTAGTTCTAAAAGCAGATATCGCCAAAATGGCATGATCCTTGTTTCGCTGCGAAGCTTCGACGGTTAGATTGACAGTCGAATCAGGCTCCGCCCATCGAATCTTCAACTATCTGGGGTCAGCCCTACATAGTAGTAGAAAATATAAGAAGAATAATGAGAGATAACCGATATGAGCATTAGAGGTGCTGTCAGGCATATTCTTGAACTTTGGACATGCAGGGAGAAACACGCTACCTGTTTTTAATGCTTAGTTAAGCTAATAAGCGCCTGTCTGCAGCTTCACAATAACATGCAGACATGAGATCATTTAACTTTAATTAAAAAAGCGAATAAATGACCTTGCCAAAGTGACACCTAGTTGCAGTGGTGGCTGCTGCCAAATCTCTCAGGGGGGGTTTTGATGATGGCTAAGGTGAGTTCAATGGCCTTAGTCTGCTATAACACAAGGATTGTTCCTTAGGCTACATACTGTACAGTATTTGTGAACAGCTACATCCTGAAGTTCATTGTCAATGTCTACAATGAATGAACAGTCCACAGTTAAAATCAACCGATCTTTAGACCTTTGGATGTAAAGGCAACTACTTTAGCAATAATGATAAAAAAAAGAATGACTCTCACAATCATCTGATTTAGCTGTAACAAACCTTTTATTTAGGAACAACAAATCCAGAAAAAAGCACAGTGGCACTGCAATGAATAAAATTATTTACAGTTAATCTTGCGTTGCAGCTAAGGGACCCGTCTCAAGTAATAGGCTACAGTTATGTAATATTGTCACATATGCTGTATATGAAGGTGGATCAAACACAGCTATTCTTAAATGTTTAACGGGGTACAGATGAACCTAGTATTTATTTTCAGTTTTTAAGTTACACATTACACAAGATTAATAAGGTAAGCAGAGAGTTGTAAAAACTCCACTTGTTATCCTGTAGATACACAGTATTATTAGGGGAGTGGGCTGTATTAAAGTATCCACTGTTCTCCTGTAACTGTATAATCACACAGTAACAACGAGCTATGTGCTGTTCTCCCATTCTTCCTTTGTATTTATACATGAACAACAAGGCATGCAAGGGGAAATTTAAAAGGTTTATTCTATTGTTTTTGGTTTATTTCCTGTGTTGCTTTCCTACTTCTTCTTCTTTTTACCCTCCTCTGACAAGATGCCCGTGGTGGCCACATCATGCTACCTACCTTTCCTGGCTTGGCGGTGCCCGGTCAACCTAATGAACAAGCCGCCCCTGCCTAGTTGCCCCTAGTTGCTCCAGAGGCATCTGACATACATAGCAATTGTAAGTCGCTTTGAATAAAAGCTTCAGCAAAATGAATAAATGTAAAGCAATGGATAACACAAACACAGACAGAAAATTAAGTGTGTGAATACTTTTCTACCTACATGTATGCACGTATATTACAATTAGCAAATGTGTGCCTTCTGTTCAAAGCAGGCGATGATCTTCTCCAAAATGCGGGCCTTTGAGACATTTGTACAGCAGGAGGGGACGACTGGTATCACGTCTGGAGATTCAGGCGTGACATACTGAAGTCGCCCTACAATGCAGAAAACACAAGAAAGCAATAGACCAGGCATGAATAAGACTTATATCAGCAGTGTATACTGCAGCAATTTGTATATAGGTGCATTGTCAGTTGTCCTATAACTACATGTATCACCGTTGGAAAGTACCAGTCCAGTTCAGGTCTTAAGTATGTTGTGAAAGCACGTGGTTAATGTTGTGAAACGTTCAAAGTTTCATTAAGTCTAGGCAACAAAACTACTTGGTTAGGTGTGGAAAAAGATCATGGTTTGGGTTACAATAAGTACGTTGTGTAAGTCAAGTGACATGAGTACCGTAAGTCACCTGCGTAACCCAGCAATAAATGTAAATATGGGTTGTAATAAGCTGCTGAACAATCAACCTATATGGCCATTTGTCTGGTGAGGACGGGCCAGCCTTAATACAAAAGTATTTGCCAAGTCATCCTCACTTTAGTAGTCTCTCTTCAGTCATGCTTAAAAGATAAGTATGCAAAACTACACTTACCTTGCGCAGGAAGGAAAATCAGCAAAGTTACACATATAAAAGACAGTCCACCGCTAATGGAGAAATGCATCCTGGGTCCAAATTTGACAGTTTGTCTCTGTAGAGATCTGGATAATAAAGTAAATATTTAAGAGCCTTATTCTGGACACACACTGCTCCTGTGCTTGTCAGTGAAGTAATCAGTGAAGGTATAATAACACCAATACAGAACCCCCTCCATAGAAAGAGGAACGCAGCTGTTGAGTGTACTCAATGAGTTTGTTAATAACTCCCCCAATAAAAAAAAACTGTAAACAGATATATTGTCTTCAGTAATGGTGCGATGTGTTGAACTCACTGAGAGACAAAAAATATTTTAGATTTAACTATAAATATGTGAGCAAAGAAATGTCTAATAGTCACATGTAACCATTACTTCACTTTTAAGCACTGATACCTCATGTTGGAACTGAAATGCCACTAACACATAAGTATTTTACTCCCTTTCTCTCGCTCGTCCTCATGTGCTCTCTCTCTCTCTCACCTGCGAGTCTGCATCACACTTGAATTGATGCAATTGATGGTTTCAATAATGTGGCATTCATCTGCCATTTAAATAGCAATGTGCCATTCCAGGCACAGCTGGCTTTCAGAGGGTAATGGGAGATAACACTCATGATTGGTTTAATTCGTGTTACACCCAAACCACACATGATCAATCTACAGACTAAATATAACCCCTTTGTGCCTTACTTGCTTAGATGCCAGATATGTCCGCGTAATTCAGACACCAAACAAGAACCTATTTTGAGGCCATAATGACCATGAATTTTCACCAAATTCTAATCAGTTCATCCGTCCAGATGAACGTTTGTTCCAATTTCGAACAAATTTCTTGTTCCTGAGATATCGCATTTGCCTAGATGTCGTACTGACGGACAATGATCTCCACTCACTGTGCTTCAGTTGCAGACCAAAGGAGCAGACCACTGTCACCAAAGGATCGGCCACATCTGTAGATGTGGGCAAAGGTACATGAAGTACAGTGTAAAGATTTCTACTTAAAAAGTCATGGAGCATCATCTACATCTTCATCTTCATCGTGGAGGCCAACTGCTCCTGATACTTAGGATGAGTTAAATGCAGAGAGCTCATAAATGTTTTATATTGTGCATGATTGTGTATGTGACAATAAGTTGATGTGATATTTATCCTACAAAAGCAAGAGTTCCTCTTGACAACAAAGTGAATTATTTCTCAAAATGGCAAACCATTCCATTAAGGTTTTATAATATTTAGTTAGTGGGCTGACAACATTTTTCAAAATTATCTTTATTTGTTTAGAATATGATGATAAAATGACAAAGACATTGGCATTAACTGTTTTGAACCACCCCACTTGCTTAGTTTCGCTCAATTCCTGGATGTCTATGGGATCATGGTTATTTTAACTGATTCCCTGGACACAACAATTGAGCCAAGATAGCCTAATATTGCTGTTTGACATAACTAGACTACACCAATACATAAACATGTTTTATTTCTGACTCTGGGAAACCCGTAAAATTCCCCAAACTACTGTATCACTGAACTCTGTCTTTAACCAAATCACACACATATATTTAAAGACAGCGGGAATTAAGCATTGCCGTAAGTTAGTAGACATATTGCCTGTGTAAATATTTCTGCTTAGAAGGTCATGGTGCATCATCTTCAT